AACGTATGACATATTCCAAAGTTCAATGGTCAAAACTCGACATTTTAAATTTCAATGAGCAATCTACAACATTGACCTAAGTTAAGTGAGCAATCGAAGACATTGGACTAAGTTCAGTGACCAAAACTAGACATTTTAAACTTCAATGATCAATCGAAAATATAAATCTAAGTTTAGTGACCAAAACTCGACATTTTTTTTTTAAATTTTGTGGTCAAAACTCCACATTTTAAAGTTTAGTGATCAATAAAAAATATGGACCTAAGTTCAGTGAACATTGGAACAATTAACTCTAAAATTTATTATGATTGAAAATAAAGTTTGATTAGTTGTAAATAATTTATTATGCTTTTTAAACATATCTTCAAAGTTGTGATACGGCAAGTAATAATTTCATTAATGATAAGACATTGACACCACAATCTGCCTTGAGAAGTATTAAGAATGAAAGAAAAAAAGTTAAAATATTTTGGATTAAATTATCTTATTTACTATTTATTATGCTTAGTACATTTTGTGCAATTTTATGACTGCTAATAAAGCCCCCGTTTGATTTACATTCTTTGGCACAAAAATAAAAAATATGATCGTTATTCATCACATCAAGTTATCATTTTTGACTTTCTATCGTTTGTATGGGTCCCGTAACGATTATATTTTTCATTCTCATTCTTAAAAAAATAGGAATCAAATGGGGCAAAGTTTGATCATCTATAAATAATTTATTAACTTTTCTAAACATATCTTCAAATTTGTGGTAAGACAAGTAATGATTGCATTAAGACATTGATTCCACAATCTGGGTAGGAAAGTATTAAAAACGAAAGGAAAAAAGTTAAAATATAACGCCCCTTTTTGGTATTGATTTAAATCAATTTTAATCTAAATTAAAGTTAAAATCAAACAATCGTTATTAAATACATATTTTATAGGTCTCACAATTTTTTAACCATACATTTAAATTTTTTTTTTATCAAAATCTATTAAAAATCTAATTTTAATCTCCACCAAACAGGGGCTATATATCATATAATCTTAATTATTATTTATTAATAATAAGTATATTTTGTGCACTTATCAAGATCAAATTACTAAACTTTTATATCATGAAAGTGTTGATTTTTACTTAATTTGTGTTAATTTTCTTTTATTTCGGTGTTGGACCCTGATTGGATGAAACGTGGATCAAGAAGAATGAAATTAAATAAAATCACAAATTTGTTTTCAAATTTCACACTTTAGAAATTCAAGGATCAAACTGCATACTTTGAAAGATAGGACTCCACTAATGCAATTACACCAAAAGTTGATGACAATAAAGAAGTTGGATAAAATTCAAACTGGTAAAAACCAAATGGAAATTGGAAAGAGGATGAAAAGTCCAATTCGAATTGGAACCCTTTGTCTGGAGTCGGCGGATGATTGGAAACAAAAAAGAGAGACGTGCACGGCAGCCAACAAGAAAAAATGATGCGGAGACGGCGGAGAAGGACGGGACACGCAGCATCGAAGAATTTATTTCAGATTTTTGTACGAGAGTTCATCGACAATTATGCGTTAATTAATCACGTTTACTGATATCTTTTCATTTATATTTGTTTAATTCTGAAATTATGAATAACTAAATATTTTCATTACTAGGATTACGATAAACCTTTTACTATGAAACTTTGACTTTTGGATCTTGTTTTTTATATTAAAGCACTTTTTTTTNATATTTCGAATCTTCAACCAATTTTGAAAAATCTACAATTTTGACACTAATAAAAATACAATAAATACAAAACTCGTGCAACACATGTGTCAAAAACTAGTATTATAAAAAAGTACAAACTTTGATTAGACTATCATGTATCTTTTGGTTTGTTCTATATATGTACACGAATAATGATGCTTGAAGACAAGCCAAAATGGATCGATTGACAGGCTCAAAGACAGGCCATAATATGCTTGAACATGCTCAAAGACATGCCAAAATGAATAGACTAACTTGGCAGTACTTGTTTAGATTTTTTTTTTTTTAAATTGTTCATTCAGTCATCCTATTTTTTAACTTGTTCTTGAGCCTGTTTGTGTAGTATTGTATGTACATATATATTGTTCCCTAACAATGAGCCAGCTGAAAACTGAGCCCCACTTGCGTCCACGAATTGCTACACTTAAAGAAGATCGTGCCTTGAGGCACAAGCCAATGAGATGTTCGAGAACCGGGATTAATGGAACATGACGACAATATCCTTGATAGTCATATTTGCAAATATAGAAACAAACTGAAAATGTAAATGACTAGAATGAACTAAAGTGAAATTTCTTTTTAATTTTAATCTACAAGCATTTAAGCAATAATTTCTTAAAACTTGAACTTGTTACTTGCCAATCTTTTTGAACAAAGTGTTCTACAAAATGTTCAATTTGAGAAAATAGAACAATCATGTTACATAGACAAAGTTAAAGTTAAAAAACAAGGAAATACGTGGTAGCATTTCATTGGACACTTTAGGAAAAAGATAACACATTCTAGTGTTTCCAATGTAATACTTGTCGAAAGTCCCTTTAACTACCATGTGCGAGCAACATTATTGAAAATAGAAACGTTATAGTGTTGTATCATCGATAGGTCAACTTACTTCAGTATAATTTGTAGGTAAATCTTACTTTCTGAACATGGTTTATTTAATTTGAATAAAACCAATTATAAATAATTTTAGTTTGGTTTCACAATAAAATACTTTATTCATATATGAAGATGATTTAAGATTAGTAGTGTTATACAATATTATTCTGAAAATACACAAATTTCTAACCCTTCGCTTTCCAAATGTCTACTACTCGACATATTGAATCATAAGAAAATCCACCCTTTTCCAACATTTTGCATGCACTTTCTTTTAATTCTCTAGCTCTGCGCCTAATGGCCTTGCCTTCTTCCCCTACGATCACCGCCCTAACCACCCTCTTGACCTCCTCTCTTCCGATCACTTCCTGCCCCGGTTCTACCACCGGCTTCAACGCCACCCCNCCAAGGTTGATGAATAGAACTGAATCAGTTGGTTGATTATCCAGCCAGGCTCCGATTTCTGCATCTTTTTCTGTTAAAAATTCGTCATCTTTGATTATGGGCCCTATTGGATAAACTGGAGGAGTTGAAATTTCTTCAAAAAATGGATTTTCTTTCAATGCTTTGAGTGTAACAGGTTCAAGATCCTGCCAGGTGTTCGCGAAAATGCCAGCGACCAGAGGCATCCTACTTACGTGAAACAAATACCAACTGTATTCTTCATTTTTTCTGTCTTTTACCTGTCAATAGTTAAATTGCATGTCCCATATGTAGAGTTTAAACACCCACAGTAGAAGTTTATTTATGAAATGGAATTTTACAATTTTGGATACTCACTCAACAAGGACCACTATCTAGCAAATGAAAATTTCTCTCTCCAACAAAACACATACACACAGCTGTATCTATATCTCCACTTTATCTCAATTCTTTATCACCTTACACACACCACTAATATGCAATGCTCTCTCTCTTTATCTCTCTGTTTTGTCTTCTCCACTCTCAATTCACTCTATGACTCAAAATGAGGTGCTGTTACACACACCACTAATATGCAATGCTCTCTCTTTTTCTCTCTCTCTTTATCTCTCTGTTTTGTCTTCTCCACTCTCAGTTCACTCTATGACTCAAAATGAGGTGCTGGAACATATTTATAATAGTGTATATCGGTGGCTTACAATTCTAAATAATTCTATTATGTAAATAAAATCAGCAGCCTGCCATATTGTCCAGAATTTGTCATAAATGGCCGGCGGTGGACAGCCTTTCAATAATTTGTCCAGTTTCTTCTAGGAATTCTTATGGATTGAGGAATTTGATTAGCAAGAAATCATCACCAATTTTCTAGAGAATTCTTGGAGCTTCATCTCAAGTCGGCGATGACTTTCACCATAGTGTTGAAGACTACATTTAAATGTGTTCATTCTTTAAATATTTAAGCTTTGAGACGAGAGGGTTAACATACCTGATCAAGAAGGTCATTTGTGCGAATTGGGGGGCAACCAGGGACCTCAACTGGCCCGGGAAGGTCCACGAATTCGCCCTCTACTTGGGAGTCCAGTTTGGGGAGATACAATGAAAATGTAAGTAAAATAGTTGAAGCAGTGAAAAACGAGTAAACAGGAATGGATAGTTCTTCACAAACATCAATGGCTTGAGTGGTAAAAATGTCAATGATGAGAGCTTTAGGTTTTAATTCAACTAAAATGGATTTCAAAGGTTTGAGGGATTCTTGAGTCATGACACATAGTTTAGTCAATAGAAGCATGTCCTCAGTGATGATGTCGGTCATGTCAGATTGTGGTATGTTAACGACTTGGAGTTGTGGTGGAATGGTGGCAGACTGGAGGAACTGGTTCTGCGCATTGGAGGCTCCGGTGGTGATCACCAGAAAACTGACACGGACTTGGTGGTGGAGTACGAGGTGCTTTGCGAACTGGAAGAGGGGGATTATGTGGCCGAGGCCGGGGCTTTGGAGGAAGGCCACGTGAGGCTCCTCCGCCACAGCCAACATTGTGTTTTTGGGACAGCGTAAACAGCCTGTTCTATGGAGGCTTTTGTGGGTGAAGGCTTGAGACAAAGGGGCCTGTGTATTTATAGCAAAAATTGCCCGGTAAAGGTTATGCGAGGAAGCCAAGATGCGTTTAGTTACCAGTTCGCTCATATCTGGTA